CGGCGGAGCCGCCCAGCCTGTTAGCCTCTCCCAGCGCGCCGTCTCCGTGCGGCACCTGTCATTACGCCGACGGAATCAGTCCGAGTCGGCGCTGGCGGCCGGCCGGCCGACCTCCGGCTCAGCATTACCGACCATTAGGCCGCAAGGGGCTCGCCGGCCGCCGCCGGCGCCGCCCCGAATATGGCAGCCCGGCCGGGGCAGCCGGCTGCCAGACGCAGCGGCGCCAGCTCGGGACGGGGTGGGAGGGCTGGACGTCCCGAAACAGCAGGACGGCTCACGGAGGAGGCTCGGCGATGCTGAGGAACGGGGAGAGCGTGACGGGAGCTTCCGTTGGCCGCTGTGACACGTGGCCCACGCGGAAATGTATGGCCGTAATTCCGGTTGACCGTCAATGCTTCAATACCGTTACGCAACACGAACTTCTGTGAATCGGGAAATGTAGAACGCGAGGCTGCATACAGCGAACAATTGCTTTTTTGCTCGCCGCTGACAATGTGATGACCCTCCAGATCTTTGTGTTCAGCGACTACCGTAAGGATGCCACACCTGGGCTACGTACATCGGAAAAGCCGCGAACAAATGCTTCCTTGACAAAGAGAAGCATTTGGCGCCAGGATGAATCGTGCGAGAAAATTCTTTGTCACGTGCGGAACGGCGAATGCACGCCTGCAACGATTTCAACTGGGGCGTACCCTCGTGAAGAGCCACGCCAGCTGCGCTGACAACACCTGCCCCAATCACGGCCATACTGTACGTGTGATCGAAGGTCGTGCCCCGCCGCCGCCGACGCCACGAGCAGGCGGCGCTACATATCGCGGCGCGTCGGCAGGTTCAGCGGCGCCGCCTCCTCGCCGGCCTGTCGAGGGCCGCTGCCGCCGGCCGTGGCTGGTGGCGCCTGGTTCGGGCGCCCGGCTGACGGCTGATGGGACGCGGCCGGCGGCGGGCTCGGAGGGCGTCGGACCAGCCGTCAAACTCTGCCGGGACGACGCCGCCGACGCTCAAGCTGTCTCGGCGCCCGCTGCGTGCGGCGGAGCGTCAACGGCGGGCGGTCTCCCTGTTGCCTTCATGGACTCATCTCACAATGAGCATATATATCTATATCTATTTCTATATATCTCTATCTTATCTATCTATCTGTCTATATTTATGTATACATATACATACGTACATATCATATATATATATATATATATATATATATATAGATATATATATATATATATATATATATATATATATATGCATTGACACCCAATGCAACTTATTTGCAGTTGCCAAAGCAGTCTTACCTTCTTGTCGATCCTGGCAAGAACATGTGAGAAGCCTCTTGTCAAAGCTCTCGTCAGTCCTTTGTACGGCCGACGCGTTGGAACGGTTTGCCCGGGCTCCAGGTATGTCGTCAACCGTGAACTGCCTGCGTCGCGCTCCAAAAACGGCCGCAATTCGCGGTCTCCTCCGGCTGTCGCCGCTACGAGCTCCAAAATGCCCCGCCGCATCGAAACCAGAGAGCAGCGATAGAATCAGCTCGTGTCGCCCTGGTCGGAGGCGCAGCCGCAGGTCTGCGTGGCCGGGTGGTCTCCGGCACTTCGTCAGCGGCCACGGGAACGACATACCCTCCATCCCAGCGCCGGTGCGCTCCGCCGATGTGACACTTTGGGGCGGCTCTTTGCGGCTATGTGGAAAGTCTGGTGTTGTTAAGGCGGGGTGGAAAACTGCCGTGGGATGTTTACGAGGGCCTGGTTTCTGCATCACGCGCAGTGCAGTCGACAATACGGCTCATTATGGGTATTAGTGCGACTGCTGCCTTCGTTGTGTTTCATGTGGCACGCTTGTTGCGGACATCAACAGCCTTAGCGGTCGAAGATGATGCCGACCTTATAGGCATCATCTGAAGCGCGCGCCTTTTTACAAACACCTCTGGCTTCACTGCTAGTAACGCACATTGTGCGCACGGTTGGGGCGGACGTTGTGTCATTGCGAATGTCTTAGCTCCTTCATGCTTCACTGTCTTTCTCTCTGTGGGGTTAGGGTCACCCAAGACTTCGGTAGAAACACCAAGAATAAAAATTATCTTTATTGGAAGTCGGTCCATCGCCCGCCTGATAATTTCATTAATTTCCGCTTTTTTAGCTTTGGCTTGGCACCTTTGGGCACCTCAATGTCCAGGGCTTTGACGAGTCACCTTTGACCTTCCATCATTTGGACCCTGGTAGCGCCCCTGGCTTCCGCCAAGACCGATAACATGCTGACCTGGCCTTGTCCGGACGGTGGCGGCGCCGCTTGCCGTCCACCCAGGCCGGCGACGCACCGGTACGACCCGCGCAGGAAGCGGTCCAGCGCGTCTTGCCGTCCGGCGCCGGACCAGTGGGGTCCGCGGCGCCACGCCCGCGGGACCCCAGGACCGGACCGGTTGGACCACCTAGCCACGGTGTGTCGTGCTCACGGCGGCCGTGGTTCGCCGCAGTCGAAAGACCGCCAATTAGACACGGCTTACGAATGAAAGCCGTTCTGACACATCTTGACGACATGCAAGGCTAGCTACTGCATTGTCGGGGAGCGTTTGGACATATCACGAGGGCTTTGCATTGAATCACAGCCAGTTTGAGTGATGTAAAGGCCATGCAGGTATTCAGACGTCCCATCTCGCCGCGCCGCCGTATCTCTACATCTCCATTTGCATGGCTCGAATGGCGTAATTTTCCAGGACCAATACAAAAAATCCATAAATTTTCTGGCCAATGTCCAGTTAATTAGGTGAGCGTGCGGCCGTGAAAGGCTGGCTGGCGGCCTGGGCGGGACAGGGGGCCGCGCGTGCTCTGGACGGCGCGGAACGGCGCGAATGTCGCCGCCTCTCGGATCAGTGACCGGTCCGCCTGTTTACCGTCCGAGCGGGTGGCAGCCGCGGCCTCAAACGGCGCCGCCGCCCGCCTCCAGAAAAACGGCCGCTCAGCACCCGGCGCCCGCGCGCTGGGGTGTGGTGCACGTCGTTACCCCGGTGCGCGCGCGCGCTCTCCCTCTCTCCCTCTCTCTCGCCTGCGAGTGTGGCGATGATTGCCTTTGGCCCGCGTGTGATGCGCTCTCTGACTGCCGACCTTCTGATGAGCTGTGTGCACCCCACGAGCCCAATCCCACCGCCACTGGCGACAACGGTGCGGCGCAGACCGCGTTTCTCGTGACAATCTCTCCGCCAACTCTTAAATCCCCAACCCGTCACAAACGTGGCGTCTTCCGCGCGTTCGTCCCCAGCGTGGCGCCGCCGGCGACGAGCCGGTCCCCGGAGCGTGCTCCGCTGCTGCCGGTCAGGCCGCCGACTGAGCTCGTTAACAGGGCCGGGCTCCGCGTCGTCCTGCACCGTAACAAATCGCCGCCCTGGCGTAATGAGGCCTTCCGTTCCGTAACGGAGCCTTCAGTCCCGCGCCGCGCGGCGACCCTCCGAAAGAGTTCACCACCGGGTATGGAGGCCGCCGGCGCGCCGAAAGAGTCTGCTGCTTGGGATGGAGCTCACCGCGCCGTAATAAAGCCGCCGGCAGTCGCGCTGGGAATTAGTTATGAGCGCCGTCCCGCGTTAAGTTGCGTGGGAGGCAGCGCTCAGGTCGGATCGCCCCGCGTCGAGGATCAGCGCTGCACACTGCACGAGATGTCGGGCGTAGCAATCGCTGAGAACGCCCAGCGCCAGGCGCCTCCGGCAAGGCCGCGGACGGTCTGATGCACGTCTGCAATCGTGGCGTTTTTGCGGGCGTCGGCCGGCCTCGGTCGCCACTCCCCTGCGTACGTGCCGGCATCGGTGCCCGTTGTCTCGGCTGATTTGTTGGCGGCCTCGGCGAAGTGTACGGTCATGGTCGTCCGCGGCGGGCAGTGCAGGGGTCCTCGCTGTCGGGTGTTGTTCGGACGGCGGGTGGTGAAGCCGTTCGGACATGACCGGGGCGACCTCGCTGGGAGGAGGCCGCGATCAAAGGTCTCGAGTCGACCTGCGGCGTCGCCGACCGTGGTGCGCGGCGGAGGCGAGTGGCCCCGTTGCCAGCCTGCTGATGGTAGATATCTGCTTGACAGGAAAGTGTCGCGTTGATATGGACGCAGACCGTAAGCAGCGTCACTCAAGAGTCCCCTGGAGGGTCGCGCTCTAAACGGTCCAACAACCGGTTTGCGGAGTGTAGTTGGGTTAGGTTGCACCTGATTCTCTGAGTCCCTGGGATTTTGTCACCTTCAAGGTGTTTTATCAGATTACGCTTACGTCAGTTTTCTGCAGCCTTCTGCCTTTCGTTAAGCAGGCTTTACAACTGTCATTCATGGGGCAATTCGGTCCCATGCCAGTATTCCCTCCGGGTAGTGACCGACCACGAGTCTGTCACGGTCACGTTAAGCTTGCCCCTTCTGCCCCCTTCCGTTTTGCCGTGCCTAGTATGCAGAATGGTCCGGTGTCGTGCGAGCCGGTGAGAAGGTCGCAAGCGACTGAAAGGTCGAGCCACACCTTCACCGCAGCGAGACCCAGCAGTGGGCAGCGGCGAGCTCCTTGTGAGGCGTCGCCGCAATGCTCACATCAGACATAACACAGCCTGGGAATCAAGATGGGCAATCTGAATCAGCAATGTGCTGAAGCATGCATAATTACATAGGAATGCTCGGGGAAGCGGTTTGGCTAGCAAATTCACGCGATCGCCGTGTTTGGAATCATGCTGTCGACCCGCCGCTCGCGGCTGCCTCCGAAATGTACAGCAGCAATCAAGAAGGCCACGAAGTGTGCGCTTTTGACCCGGGGACTGATTGAGCGTTTCGTGTCGATCTCCCGGGCGTTTATGGTCAGATCCCGGTCATTATGTGACCTAACCCGTAGTTTCAGCGTGCACCCGTCTCAGCATTCGCTTCGGACTGCACGTAAATCCTCGACCGCGCTCTGACCCCTGGCAGCGCGTTGTCGTCGCCGTAATGTGCTCACGCGACGGGCGGTCGTATGCAGCATGACCTGACCTCTGACCTGACCCGTGACCTCTGTGTGTTCGCAGCCACCCGGATGTGCCGCACCGGGGCATGACTCGGAACCCGGGCGACAGCTGCGCGCGTATCAGAAACCTCTCCATCGTGCTGAAGAACATCAAACACTTCTATGAGGTAGGTGCCTCTTGGCCTCTCGTGTGTTGGAATGCGGTTTTGGTGACGTCGGACGCTCACATCTGTCCTGTTCTGTTTTGTTAGACTTTTGAGTGGGATCAGTGGTCCGGTGACGCTGGTGTTGTGGAACAACGCGCCTTGACGTGGGCTCTTATACCCGTCTAGAAGTGTCACACCCGTATCCGCCCCGCCGGCAGTGTTGGGCCCCACCAAAAATATCCGGCCCGATCTGGCCCGCCCCGCCCCGTCGTCCCTCAGGATGTCAGCACATATCCTCGCGACTTCCCTGGGGCCGACCTCACCCCCGTCCTCCGGGACACTGCGCGGTCACCTGTCGCTCGGGGCGAAGGTGGGATCATTGACGCCCGATTGGCTGGAGGCCAGCGCGCTGCCTGTGGTCGGCGCCCGTCCCCACGGTGTTTGGTCCCGGCATTGCTCCCACCCAGCGCCACAGCCGCCAGCCGCGGCCCCCGCGCTGGTCACCAGCGGTCAGCGGTCAGCGGTCAGCGGTCAGCGGCCGCCGTGGCCCGCGGTGGTGAGCTGTGACCAGATTAGACGCAGCAAATGTGGATGCAGGTCAAATCAGCCGGTCGGGCCAACTGGAGGTATTTCGGTTTGGCCGGCAGTTGGATTCGACCTATATTCAGAGAGTCTGGACACCAGAGGCAGACCCGCATCATTAGTGCAGTTTCTGCGTAGGGGATACTCAGCTATGCGTTATGAGCAGCGCGGGCGGTTGATTAACAGTAACGACCAGGTCCGGGTTGGTGCCTGGCCATAGGCAGGATTTTGAGTAACCACGATTGCCCATTTGGTGCGTGATGAGGCAGCGTTTCTTTCGCATGCGTGGTTCAAGAACTTGAAGTTCTTCTCTTGCACATAAGCCCCGTCATTGCCCTCAGCCTTCACTTGTTTCCAAGCAGGATGTAGGTTTTAGACGCACGGCGTGGGCTGGTTGTGCATGGCCAGACCTGCCTTGGTCTGACCTGGACGTCAGACCTGTACTGATCTGATCTGGTCAGACCTGCATTGGTCTGACCGGATATCAGACCTGGACTGATCTGACCTGGATGTCAGGCCTGGACTGGTCACACGTGATCGCTTATGACAGCAACATTGCCCAGTACAGTACAGGTGCTAAAACACCTGCATCGAAGTACGGTATCTTTTTGAAAAGGTCCGGCCATTCGAACGGCTCTGTGTTTTTGTGCCGATATTTCCCGGTCCAGTTCACACCAGGATTGCCAGAGGCACCGGCCGAAAGAACATACTTCCTTTCATCTGAGACCCGGTTCGTTACCCACACATCTCGACCTTTGTCACCCACAACAAGCGGCGAAACTTAACTTACAGCCTTTCACTCAGATAAAAAGCGGGACTTAAGCTAACACCCTTCAATCACTCGGATTCCGCTCCCAGAAGATCCGGGAGAATGGGCTACATCCTTCCACCGCGGGCGCGGTGACCTCTGTGTCCTGGTCTGCACGAAAGCATCGCATTTCAACCTCACGTGGAAAAGCGCAGCGTCCTTTCCGGCCGCTCAGTCAATTACATTTTTTGCAGCCGACACCACGGGATGGTGCTCTGCGCGGCGCCCTCGCCTCTTCATAAGGCCGCTATCGCCTCTAAATAAGGCCGCGCCGCCCGTCGAGCCCAGTCTGGCGCCCCCGACCGGCCGCAGCGCCGGGAGCTGGCGCCAATTAGGCCGCGGCGCGGTCGGGCCTAACGTCGGGCCACGGACTGATGCAGCGTCGGCGGCGTAGGCCGGTGACGGATGTGCGAGCCGGCTGACCCGGGACCGGCTGACGGCTGACCCGGCTGGCCCGGCGAGCGCGGGTCAGGGGTCGGCCGGCCAGGCCAGGCGGCCGCCGGCCGCCGCGATCCCGGGCTCTATTACTGAGCGCGGGCGGTAGGGGGGTGAACGTCCGGCACGGCGCCGCGCGGGCCGCTCCGGGGGCAGGCTCGTCGCGAAGGCTTTGGTGGCGGGCGCGCGTGGCTGGGGGTCCGGGGCCATCCGGCGCCGCCTCGGGCGAGGGTCAGGTCGCCAGCTGCACGTCCACCGCCAGCCGGACCGCCACGGTCCGAGCCTGTCTCGCATTCTGCCGGCCGTGATAGCTTCGTCGCCTTAGCACGGCGATACGCGTCGTCCAGCCACCGGCTGCGTGGCCGTGCCTTGTTCGCGACGAGGTGCGTGGCTCACTGCCGGACGGTCTCACTCTGACCCTTCTGCACGCCTGGTGTCCGTTACGTCCGGTAACGGCACGCGCTCGGAGGCCCCCGGGCCACTCGGACCGGAGGTGCGCTCCGGGGGTCATCCGAAGCTCATAAGTTCAGCCGCACGCTCAAACAATCGCACTGTGTGTCGTTTGTCTAGCTTGGCTTTGCGATACACGCTCTGTCGGTGGACGCCCACGCCGGCCGTCAAGTCAACAAAACAGTGGCTCAGGCTGGTGTTTGTGTGCGGGGAGGGGGGGGGAGGGGGTGGGGGCGGGGGGGGGCAGATAGGCGTCGGCCGGTTTGTGAGTTCTGACTGACGTTTCTCGGCTTCGTGCAGGTCACGAACAGGTTCCGCGTGGTAGGTGCCCTAGCGCGTCTCCGGAGCCGGCTTGACAAGCAACAGGATTGTCTGCCCCCCCCCCCCCTTTCCTCCCCGTCAGTCGTATCCGTCGGGTAGCTCCCAGAATGTGGCCGTTTCATCCATCGGATGAAAGGCAATTTCAGAAGAGGCCATATCAAAAGTCGATTTTCGCTGACGGCTGCTGAATGACAGCGTTGAGAGAGTGACGGGCCTTCTGAGCCTCTTGATAAGTCTCCAGACCAAGCTGTCAGCCAGATTTCTGTGGGTCTCACAGCGACGTCGGCCGGGATGTCACTTGGTCTCCGAGGGGACAGCTGGCAGCTGCAG